ATTATTATTATTATTATTATTATTATTATTATTATTATTTGCAAAAACCCCAAAGTGCAATAACTGAGCATTTTCTCAACAGGGGTCTTATGTGATTCAAGATTCCCTTTCTTATCAAGGACATGAAATTTGTAAAAAAAAAAAAAAATTACATCACTCCTGTGTTTTGTTTTGTTTTTTCCTTTTCCATGGGGAATGTGTTTTGACTGTAAGGAAAGCCCTAAAACCACAGTGCAGTTTGCAGCTGAAAATGTCTCTTTTAACATGGTTTTGATCTCTGTCAATGGGGTATGACACATTGACAACTGGAGAGGTTTCTATACATTTAATGGCTTTGTACAAGAGGAAATTTCAGCAGGTGCTGCTTGTTACCTGTTTCCATGACAAGCAACAATTCCAGAAATTCTTTCTTCCACACAACCATTAAAAAGTACAACAGTTTTCTCAGTTCCCATGACATCACACCCCTAGATTGCTCAGTGGTGCTTTTAATTTAATTTAGGCTACCCTGGGATCTGGTAAACCAATCCATAATATTTCAATGGTTTTTTAGTATTTGCAAGCTCTTATGATGATGGTGGTGGAGGGGTTTCAGAATTGCCACCTTCTCTGCTTTCATTAGAACTTTTTCCAGACTGCCAGCCTTATTTTCAGACAGCATTCATGGAATGAATGAAATCTCAGGTCCATTTTTGGCATGGAAGAATAAACTCTAGATTTATTCCCTTCTCATGTGCCTGTTTGCATATATAACACATTTAGTGGTAGTGACTTATTAGGTTTTTCTTAAAGATTTGCAGAGAGAGAGCAACTCAACACATTTTATTACAGCAATAACGACTTATTTTGCATGTGGGCAATGAAGTCCATTTGCAGAGCTGGATCGTTCAGCTCTCTGACAAATGCTTTGCTCCTGCATCTTGTTTGAAAGCCAGAGCAAAGAGCCCCACTTCTGGGTTACTTGTTTGTGTGACCTTCTCTTACAAGGAAAATTAACAGCTTCCTATTTTTGATGTCACCCTGAACAGATATCTCCACCCTTTAGTTACTGGTGGCCATGAAGTAAATCAAGAGCACTTACAGGAAGCCATTCTTAAATCATCTTTTGTGCCTCAGGGATGTGTTCCATGTCCCGTAGGAAACATTTATCTCATCTACACTGCATTAATATGCTAATTTTTTATTTATGACACTGGTAGGAAACAGCAGCATGGTGGAATCCTTTGAAGGCCGCTGGGGCCAGCATTTCATTCAGGAGTCATCTTATACAAGCTTGTGGTCAGAACTGTCAGCAACCCATTTGAATTAATGACTTTCCATATGAACTCCATGGAGGGACCCTGGGCTACTGACCAACTAGAATAATCTTTGTGACGCGAGTTCTCTCTCTCTTGCTGCTGTGCATAAGCAAATGGCTCCTCAGAAAGGAACACATATTTAGATTTGCTTCTTATATATTGCACTCATTTGTCCCCGGGGATATTTCCTGCATGATACTGGTATAATCTGCTGAATCTGCACTCAGCCAGGCAAGGCACTTGCACAGAAATTGAAATATTTCACAATATTTTCCTTTTCCTCTGCATCTAGAGAGGTCATTATTTCCCTTTCATGTGGGGGAAGGAGCCTTGTTTCAGTTCCATATTTATGAACAGTAA